TGACAGGGTAGTTTAATAGCTCCATTTTAACTAAACCATGCAAAAAGTTTTTAACTAAACTCTTTGCATGGTAAAATCTTAACATGAGACATTTGCATATGCAGTGCTGAAGTTCTTTTACTGACAGCGGTTTAGAGGAGTACCCCTGAGTCTGTGCTGTGATTTCTACAACAGTCACACAGATCACAGCCATCACTGCTGTCCCTTATGTATAAAAAAATTTCTTTGTGTGGAAATTTCTGAATTTGTAATCAAATTATGTACCGTTTAACAAAAGTAGTGAACCCATCAGCTTTTCTGAAATGCAATATTACTGATGTGTTCAATATTACACAACTTCTCCAGTTTGTTGCCCCTTGTTTTGTTTTTTTTATATATGTTGCTGGCAGCCAATTCAAAATGATCAAATATTTTTAGACTACGTCCACACTATGTTTGAAAACGCCGTTTTCGTCTGAAAATGCTCCACGTCAACACTATCGTTTTCAGTTGTTTTCACAGAGTTGCGCGTCCACATTGAAACGGCCAAAAACGCTTACGTTCCAGTACTGCGCATGCGTGAAACGCAAGACGATTCGACCTGCCTCATTTCTGTCTGCCGTTTATTTACTTTCCGGCTCTTTGAAACGGCGCGGCAAAATGTCGAAGAAAAGCACAGAGTTTTTTAAATGGACTAACAATGAGGTGGAGTTGTTGCTGCGAGTAACAAAAAAAAAGTACAAAGTTGCAAAAGCGAGTGAGAATTAAAGAATTTGAAGAAAAGCTATCTGGAGCATGTACACACTGATATTAATCTTTAATAGGGCTGTCAAAACTCAGAGCAAACAAAACAATTGGTCACATGACTCCATCACATGACTAAAATTAGGGGACCAGACTTATTGGAGAATTTTAATTCATGACTTGTGCAGCTCACTGGGTCCTGGCTCCGGTTCAGATAAACATCTTCTAAAAATATTGTGTAGAGTCAAAAATACTGTAAGATGTAATTTCCACTACAGATTTATCACACTGTGTTTACAGTGGTAGGCAAAATATCTATATGTAATCTCTGTTAATCAGTGAGCGGTCTCATTTTTTTCTCTAACTTTCAAACATTAAAGAAATAAAAATCAATACAGAGTGTAGCTTTTGGACTAACTCAACTGAAATTCTTGGGCTTTTATTTGATTATATTGCGCATTTCCTCACCTTTGTTGTTAAACCGAAACAGGTTGACAAAGGAGCTGTATGCAGAGCGGAGGGGGGGTTCATCCTGCTCTGGAGTCAGTGGCTTGAAGTGAGTCAGGTGGGAGGGGCTGGTGGGTGAGATGCCAGCTGGCTCCACGCTCCAGTCCGTTGAGGATGAGGACGAGGACTTGTCATCTGTAGCCATGTCACTGTTCCTCCTGCCATAGAGGGAAAAAGGTATGCACTGAAGAATGTACATGTAAGCAAGAACACATTTAGCTTATTCAGTTTTTAGTCAGTTCCTAGAAACTTACCTGCAAAAATATCAGTAACTGCTGACTATTTTAACTCCAAGATTCTTGCACCTACCCTGCCTAAAAACAATCAAATTGCACTGTCATCTAATAAATCATCTAATAAATAACCTATTACACATTTCAAGGACTACATTGTTTTTCTACGAGAGCAGTTTTGCATGATTCAAAGTTCAAAATAATCCTTATATGTCTTACAGTTTGTCCACTTTCTGAAACAAGCTGTTTAAGCTCCTCTCGGTTTACAATTAACATCTTCGGACTGGTTGAAAGGGTCTGACTGTCCGAGGGCTTCTGACAGTTTAAACTTAGACACAGCTGGGTGTTCCAACAGGAAAATGATCCAAAACATACATCAAAGCTGATTTTACCATGGACAAAGGAGGTTAATATTGAGCTGCTGGAATTGCCTTCTCAAAGTCCTATACTTAAAACTATGCTTAAAAGCCAGTTCTGTGGCAGGAAGCCAACAAATTTAAATGAATTCTGTCAAGAAGAGTGGTTAAATATTCAGCCAGAATTATACCATAAGATTGTTGATGGCAATCAAAAGTTAAAACTTGATATGAGATATTTAACCACATATTAGTGGATGCTAACAGGGTTAAGCTACCCAGACTGAAAGGGACACAAAAGTTTATTTGTGGCTGTCGTATGTCTTTTTGTGGTCGCTTTGTGTCTCCTACAGGTGATTTTCTAGTTTTACCTAGATATATATAAATAGAAGTGTGGCCCACCCCAAAGAGGTTTTGGGTTTTCGGTACTCTAAAGGAAAAAATGATGACCATGGTAATAAAAGTATTTTAGCCATTTGTTTTTTTGTTTTTGGTTTTCATTTCCTCAAGCATAACATATATGTTTATTTATTGAATGACCAGAAATAGCAGGAATATGCCAAGTGGCAAACTCCAGGCTGAAAATGAAGCCAACACAGACCTGCCAGAATGGTAGTTCCTCACGTAGCTACTCAATATAAGCAAGTCAAATCCAAAGACTCCAATGTCAAAATGCCCAACTTTAGGGCATTAAAAACTACAATTACAGCCTGACATTGAAAACAAGATGAAAACTGTTGAGCTTTATGCTTTTGTGTCTCCTTCTATTCATTTTCTGACTTTTCCATCCTTAGTGGTGACTTTAAATCCCTGTGTTATTGTGCAACCAAAGTCTTTGCTTAGGGAGGGTATGTGCAGTGTATATAATTTGCATGACCTGGTAGCTGAGTCTGTACTGAGTCTGTGTTATAGGATAATCTGTCCATGCTGGGTCCCCTGAGATTGTACCCAGTAAACCTGTTGAAATAGGTTTAGCGTGACCAACAATTGTAATAGTGGTGACAGGAAGTCTGTATGCCCAACACCATCACCACCAATGTTGAAACTGATGACACGCAACCTTGTGACTGCAAACTTCAAAACAAGAGCTCAGATCCTCACTCTGTGGTGTAACCACTCAACTCCAGCAACCATTTCAATGTATACCACAGTGAACAAGGAAGTCCACATTTTAGGGCAACCTGTTTAATTTCTTTCTAATAGTATATTTGGAAAAGAGTCTGCTAATAAAGAAGAAATTATCAGGTTTTTTACTTTGATTTTTTTTCTGTAATTCTGAAATTTCTTTTTTTTCATCAACGGGAACAACATCTTTGTATCTCCTTTCACACACTGCCGTTGCAACCTAAAGCTGACATATCTAACATTTGATCGCTGACGGTCCCACACATGAACTCGAACTCGTGACAAGAAAGACTCTCGGCTGGTCCGCATCCGCTTCTTAAAATTCTCCGTGATCAAAGCTTAAAAGCCGATACCAATCTCTTTTTTACTTACCTACTCAAGAAGGCCACGGACTTTGAGTTTGTAATACAAGCCATTTTAGATACTAGTAGTGAAAGCAGAAGTAGCAGAGGCATCACATCCACCACCTTATCATGTGATCAAAATAGGCCGAAGCGTCACTACAGTGTCCTGACACGACCAAGCCCTCAGCCCCATCAAAGAGCTAAAGATTGCTGTCGTTTGGATACGCTTATAGACTGCACAGATATCCATCACCATTTTCCACATTTTTTTCACTAGTCGTCAAAGTTAGCCACTAGCTCGCTATTAACTACCTAAACTAATACCTTTTAAGTATCTTATATCACCAGATTTTAATTGTAGCATATTGACTTTATAATTACAAGTATCTTGAAATGTCTTTTAACGAATTAGTTGTTTTTTGTAGGCGGAAACTATGACTCAACTCAAGCCGTGCTGATCAACTAGCTTGACGAACAGTACAGAAGCAGCTACAACTGTTTTTAGCCAAGCTAGTTAGTACTAGCTTCGTATGCTAACTAGCCGGTAGGCTATACAGGTCGTAAAATCTGGGTAACTGCCGTGAAAGCAAAAAATATGAATTACCCGTTCACTATAGGAGACTGACATAACTGTATGGAGCACCCCCGCTTTCAAGGCAGCTGTAAAACACCTGGAGGAAACGACTCCTTTGAAACACCAGACAGACCTATCCAATCGACTCCCACCACTGGTTGTGACCAGCCAGGCGCAAAAGCCGAACATAGAGATGTTCGATGGAGGCGCTCATTAGAGGATGGCAGCTAGGCGGCAGTCTCTTACTTTAGCGGTGACTAAAAGCAATGTTGTTTGAACAGGGATGTCTCAAGTGCAGCTAAACACATTCAGCCATTACCTTACTTCGATTACATTTTTATGGCTATTTGATTCTCCATATAAATAAACAGTAACAGATAAACAGGGTAGCAGACTGAGTCACATAGCTATATGAAAGACAGTAAGCAAAATAAGCAAATTACAAAATAATTACAATTAAGAGATGTATATAAACACACATACAAAAGAAAGAAAAAAAGCATAAAAAAGCTACAACAGTCTACAGCAGTCTAAACTACAACAGCAGTCAAGCTGATAAGGTAAAACGCTTCTCGCTAAAGTCAGTACAACCAAATAAGAGGTTTTTGTAGAAAACTACAAAGTCTGACCAACTTTTACTAAAAATGTTGTGGTATTTATGTTGTTAAATGATGCCGCTGTACTTATTCTTATTATTCTTCATGTAATTTCTTCTTTTGTTTTTCCTTTTGTAAATGGATAACTCATACAATGTAAAATTGCATTTTTGAGTGAAAAGGGGAACATTTTGTGGATTATTTCTATTCTTATTTATTTAATGTCACAAAAGTGTCTCTTCTGTGAGCTAAAACTTTCAATTTTATAATTTTTGTCTTTTCCTACATTCAGCTTTGTCAGACAAACTTTGTGTAGCCAAACTGTTCGAAGACTAAACCTCTGAATTTAGTCTTTTATATGAAATAAGTTGTTATCGGTTTATTTTTAATATTATTTCACTCTTAACTTAAGTTTTTCAGTAAAGTTAAACATCTGCGCTAAAACCTGGTGACTTCTAGCTTTGAGCTGCCTGACAAAACAAGTTCGGGGAACAGCTTACATCGTTTCTGATTGGTTTTCAGATTGTTGGACACGCCCTGTAACGCTTGCGTGGAAGCCCGGCTGACTTTTTGTTTATGTTTAAAAAGCAATCAGCAGCGTTACATTTTTATTCGGTAAAGTCATGATTAGCCTTGTTTGAGTCGATTTGAACGTCAGTTTACGTGGCTATGAAGGGTAGTTACTAAGATTTTCCAGAGGCAAGTCTTACCAGTGGCTGAAGTTACCGTAAGTTTTGACCAAATTGCGAGAATACGCCGGTTACACGAACGTGCTAGCAGATTTAGCCTAAGTAAGCTAAGCTAATGTTAACAGAAGCACAGTGCAGACAAATTATAAAAAACTTCCGGATTGTGAGCCGAGGTAATCACATATCTTATGATTGTTTTATTTAAAAACTATTACTTAATCACAGTGGGTTACATGGGTATTTTTTATTTTTGAAAGCAGGTACAAGACGAGTTATGTAAGAAAAAAGATATCCAGACAGTTTAAGGAAAACATGAATCCTTGACAACGTACAATGAAAGAATGTGTCGGTTTAGTTATGCTACTGCATGATTTGGGTCGATGTGTCCTGTAATAGAGAAGAGTCACTGCAAATCTGCACCCATTAAGCGGTACATATTGAATAAGTTAAGTATACTATAACTTATATGATAACTTCGCTTATGGGAAGTTTGACAGTGATGGGATGAAAGATCTAATGACAGAATACATTTTGGAAGAATTGTTTCATCCTTCAAGCAGTGGGAGAGGACACTACAAGCTGTTGTGGTGGCATGCGGTGGGCTACATCTTTATAAGATTCGCCTCGTCTTTCCTTTATATTGTTACCCGTTTGTTTGTGATGGTTAATGTAGTAGATACAGTATTAATAAGTTACTCTTATGAAAAAAACCCCCAAACTGTTAATGACAAGCACTTTTCAAATTTTATGGTCATTGTGCCACTAAACCTCGTCCACATTGTCATGCATGACTTTTAAGATAACATTTGGTTGTTAGTGGCTATGCCATCCTCTGGTTGCCTAGGTAACCATCACATACCAGTCAACAGTACCTTTTACCCTCATTGCTGCTTGCCTCAGTGGGTAGTTTTAAAGCTGAGAAAAGTTTAACTTGTGATTTGCCCCCATTATTAAGTCACCATCATTTCTGTATACTTTATACAGCAGGGGTGGGTAATTAATTTTCCCAAAGGACCACATAAAAATTTGGCACTGTTGTGGTAGACTGCAGCAATAAGCCTATAAAGAGATAAAATCAGTGTTGAGCGGAACCGAGTTAATCTTATTGCTGTGGGCCTCCAAAACAGCCCCAGTTTGTCATGTGTCCCCTTTGGATAATTCATTGCCCACACCTATTTAGATGGCCACAAATAGTCTGCCCCAGGGCAGCTGTGGCTACAACTGTAGCTTGCCTCCACCAGTGTGTGAATGTGAGAGTGAATGAATAGTGGAAATGTAAAGTGCTTTGAGGGCCCCGAAAAGCGCTATATAAATGCAATCCATTATTATTATTATTTAAATAAAATTCGAATCACCTTTTCCTGTGTGGATGTCCCTTATGATATGACTTAACTGGTGATATCCAGTTAGCAAGTCAGAAACCTGCATGTTTTTTCTTTTAGCCATCAAAAGGTGACCACTATTTTTGTAAAAAAAACAAAAAAAAGAAGTCTGGTTTCAGAGAAATTGACTTGAAGACAGCAGAGCCTGACTGATATAGGATTTTTAAAGATCAATCCTGATATTAATGTTTGATGATTTAAAAAGCTTTCTTTCATTCAGACACACAAAATATAAACAGGTTTCCCTAATATCCCTTATGATTCCTTACTAAGATAATATAACAGTGCATTTTAAAAACAGTTTTGTTTACCATCACAACTAGCTGTGAATTATGCATCTGCATTCTGTCCGACTCTGCTTGGATCAGCTGGTTGTTGTCTTTGTGGTGTTCTACACATTGTACAATGTCAACACTCTTAACAGTTTAATTTCATAGTTGTTATAAATGCTGTTAGAAGAGCTAAGTTAGACTAATATTTAATATATTGGTCGGATTCTAGAATTTCACTGATTTATGACATCAATAAACATTTTTTGTTGAGTTTATTGTCTCAGTCACTAGTTTTACGTCATATTAAATACAGTATGTTTTTCATTTTCTACTATTTTTGTCCCATTTGAGTCAGAAGAGAAGATAAAGCAGAGTGAAACAACTTTTAGCCAATGACCTATCAAAACCAATGTTAGTTTCTCAGAGCAATATTGTGTGAAATTAGTCTCAAAAGGTTGACAAATGTATGTGATATGATTGACAAGCATGCATTAAGTCACAAATGTCTGTAAAGATTTGGTTGTAATTCTGAATACTCGCAAAAAATGGTCCAATCTACACACAAATGCAGGGCAGTGTGAACACAAAGAAAACTATTTTACAAATGTAAAACCTGAGTGATATTTACGCACACATATTTAAGTTTAGCTCCACAAATCTAATCATTTTCTCTTTCGGAAAGCTCCCTGTGTGTAAAATGCCTAAAGTTATTTGCTTTGTGATTTTTGCTCACAAAAATATGAATGCACATATTGCATGATACACATAGAACATCACTTTGCATGTGCATGTGGAATTCTGAGGCTCTTCATACTGCCAGCTTCCCACAGATCCACAAATATGAACTGCATTTAAGTGCTGCTGGAAAACTGGGACCTGTGGGTTCCCTGTGTTTAATAAATAAATAAATAAAATGGGTGTTTATTTCTAAATAAACAGAGGAGTTCATCACTTCTTTACTACAAATGATACATTTATCAATTAAATATGCCATGCAGTAGTATATGAGAGTTCATATATGGCTTAAATAAGCTGTAACACCTTAGTGAATAATCTTCCGATGGGAAATCATTCTGACAAAATGGTGATAGTTTAGAAACAGCAGACATACTCTTCAAACTGTATTGCTGATACAGCTGATTTGATAACAATGATCGACTGTTTATTACGCATTCAGGTAATGTTAATATTAATCTGCTGTTATCGAGGAATGATTGGATGAATATGAAAGTGTTATCTCACATCACTGGGATCATTTCTATATTCAAAATATACAACAGCTTAGCTAGCACATATTCACTTCAGAGGATGAGCCACAGGAATGTTCAACCAGGGTGCTCTCCCATCTTCAGCTGGGCTCTGACCCTTTTCCCAGCAGAAGATTGTCCACTAAGTGGCGATAGGTTAGTTAAGACATATGCCATACATGCTAACGTATGGCACATTTAACTGGTAAATTGGTAAAGTGGATGATGGGTAATCAACTGGTTTGCTTATTTAGAAATAAATATGTGTTTTATTTGAAAAAACAGGAATCCGCTGGAAGCCCAGATGTCCCAGTTTTCCAATAGCACTTGAATCCAGCTTTCATTTTTGGACGTGCAAGCTGGCATTGTGAAATGTGTCTCAAAACTCCACATGCACATGCAGCGTGACCTGTACACATCAGGTGTTTCTTGCACGTGTATTTAGCGATCTGTAAGCAAAGGAAATGAACATTGCAAATATTTTTAGTAAACAAAAACAATCAGTTTTGATAAGTTGAACTGTGAAAATGTGTGTATAAATGGTCACTGTTTATTCAGGGTTTGATACATGCGTTTGTACAATAGTTTTGTGCGTTCAAATTGCTCTGTATTTGTGTGTGCATGAGAACAGGGATTTGTGGGTACTCAAAGTTACACACAAATCTTTATGCTTGTGGATCATATCTTACATGGCTGCAACACTTTTGAGACTAAGGCTACGTTCACACTGCAGGCGAAAGCGCATCAAATCCGACTTTTTTGACCCTATGCGACCCATATCCCATCATGGTATGACAATGTGAACAGCACAAATCCGATATTTTCAAATCCGATCTGGGTCACTTTCGTATGTGGTACTAAATCCGATACATATCTGATGTTTTAGAAAGCGACTGCTGTTTGAACGGTCATGTCGCATTAAATCCGTCTTTTACATCACTGACACAAGACAGACGCCAATTATCAGCGCCGGAGAAGACATTGCGAACGCTTCCTGGCCATCCAGTGAAACTGTTGGGAAGACAACGTTGGAGAAATGTGAACATTTTATTTGTACTGTATAATCTGCAGATTCTGACAGTAATCTGCAACTATCCTTTGAAGCACCGCTCCTCTAAAACAGCAATAAGGATAATTATTAGGCCATTTGTAAAAAATAAAATAACTTTACAACTTAAAGCTAAATTGGGAAACGTAAAATCTGAAACACGTCTTTATATTAAGGGCCATCAGTTTGGTCTGGGTCTAAACAGAGCGCGTTGTGTATGACGTCTTCTTTTGCGCATGCGGGCCGCTTTGAGGGTTCACACTAGCGCGTTTGCTGTCACATTTTATTTGTAGTGTGAACAAGCAGACAAAAAAATCAGATTTGATCAAAAAATCGGAATTGAGCATTAAGACCTGCAGTGTGAACGTAGCCTAATTTCCCTCCATAGATCCACTGTCATGTCCGATTTGAAAATACCAAGATGATCAGGCTGATGCTTCACATCAGGACTTGACTAAGCAGTGGATGATGCCAGCATGCTTATGTCCATCTTTTAAATACAGTTTCTGGTGACTTGACAGCATCACAGGAAAGACAAACACATGCATGCTGCTGGGTGTTCTTAATTACTGTGTTCAATGACTAACGTGTGCATCTTTTTCAGGTTTTTGATCGAGTCTTCCTGTTCATCTGATAATGTTTTCTTTGAAGACTATGATGGCCTCGAAGGCTACCAAGCAGACTTCAACTGCAGCATCCAAGATAAAAAATAAGCTTCTCAGTGAGTCTGTTTGCTTTTTTTGGATCTCAGAAATTTTCTGAAAGAAGAGTTCATGTAAATGCCAAACGCAAATACTGTCGTGTTTCCGCACCAGATACCTCGTCCTTCTTCAAGGTCTCTTTGAAGACCAACAACAAAGCCTTAGCTCTGGCCTTGCAAGCTCAGAGGAGGAGAAGCAGCCAGCTGGAGATGGAGGTCATGTACCTGCAGAAACAAGTGGACGCTCTCTGCTTTGAATTAGCCACCAAGAAATACAAGCACAGAAAACTGGTGCGTTTGTCGTTTGCTTGTGTTCTTCTACAGCAGTAGACAGAAAGTTCTGAGTAGACAGTTACTGGTCATGATGCAAAGAATAGTGCAGCGATGCTCCGCTGGATTGATTGCATTGACCGCAGAGCGTCTTGTTTTCCTCTTGCAGCTCCTTGTCTTGAACAACTTCCGTAGTAATGCTTTGCAGCACCTGGACATGGTGGCAGACCTGTTCTCTGACAGCGTAAGGATTTCATTCAATACACATTTACAGTTTCTGTGGCATATTGACATATTTGTGACATTTTGGTGAGCGCTGCTGAAAAATTTACTTAAAACTGGCACAATGCAGGGTTTCCTACTGATGCACATAACTTCAGGACTGTTCAAGGCTGGCAAACTCTTAACTTCTACAACTCTACAACTTATCTTTAATCTTTACAACTTGTCAGCTGACAGATGAATTTTTTTAGAGCCTCACCAATACAGGATTTGAAAGACATGTAATGATACTGATATTTGATTATTTAAAAATCCATATTTGTTTTTTAATTTCAGGCACAGAAAACAAATTTCCCTAAACTGATCCTTTGTAGCTAATTATGAGCCCTTATGACGATAGTATGCACAAGTCGTGGATTACTTGTTTGAGTTCTGCCTGACCTCTGACGGACAAACTATTCTGTGTCACTACTGATAACTGGTTGAACGGTTATTATACATTTTAATTTATCAGCAGATAAATGAAAATGATTATCAACAGATTGCTAATATTGGCTGATATATCGGTCGGGCTCTAAAAGTTTCCCATAGCTACTTCAGATGTGTAGGAAGCTGCGCATGATGTGTGCTGGCTTGCAGTGATTGTAATGAAATATTGGCTGCACCTCTAATTTAGCATCACACACACTCTGTACTGTAGCACTGGCAGTCAAACATTCATCCTCTGAGGGGATAACGATGCACCAAGGAAAAGATTAGCAGCGACTTGGCAACTGGAGACCATAGACAGTCGGTGACATTCAGAAACAGCATGAAATAACTGCTGCTGGTGTGCAGTGTTTGGGTCCCAACTTGAACTTTTCTTAATTTCACAGTGAGACTGTGAGATTGATTTGTAATTGCATTGGAGGATTATCTAGACAACTAAGCCTGGAATGTCAACAAGTGACCAACTGTCAGCTATGAAATGATGCGGTACAAGTGAATCGCTTCCTGTGTGAACATTTCTTGGATCCTAGGAAAAGTTTAGACTGAAAGCCACTTAAGTTTGAACAAAAGTAGAAGAAAATGCATTGCAATATCAAACCATACTAACATTTGCTTCTCACAGGATTCTCAGAGCCTTTCAGGAGATCCCCGGATCTCGTCTGGTGACATCAGAAGGGAAAATCTTGCAGCTGGAAGGTCAGAAATGAACTGAGTTCACAGTGATCGCCTCTTTGCAATGAGAACCACTGATTTAGCTTAGGCATCTCTGAATGGCATTGACATTTCTTTTACACTTTTCAGACTTGCACTCCTTTTTTATTAAGGTCACTTCAGTGACGCCACCTAAGTGGGTCAGAATGTGTAGCCTGGTCATGTTTCCATAAAAGTCAATGACAGACTTAGTAACATTTATCACTTTTAAAAACAGCACATTATTGAATAGACACAGACAAGAATACAATGTTTTTATCTTACTGACAGCTTCAGTTGCTTTTCTTATTAAAACAAGTACACAGTGCTGTGAGAACGTATTTGCCCCTCCCTGTTTTTTGCATATTTGCAAAAAAAAAACAAAAAAAATCCAAACCATTTTTCAGGTCATCAAACAAATTTTAATGTTGGGCAAAGTAAATAAAAAATGCAGTTTCTAAATGATGATTTATTCAGGGAAACTATCCAAACCCACCCAGATTTATGTGAAAAAGTATCAGCCTCAACCCACCTGTTAAATCGAGATTAAGTGTTGGGAGAATGGCCTTAATGGCACAAGGGGAAAAACCAGGGTTTTCATTTACACACTTTAAGACCCATTTTAGTGTTATACACTACCTTATTTAAGGGTTTGTCTTTATTTTTACTACTTTTGTAGTAAAAAATAATATTGTAGATAAAAACTGAAGACAACAAATATATGAAGCAAGATATGTGGAATTATTTAGCAAAGAATCTTTAAAAAAATCTAAATATGTCTTATTTTTTAGATTCCTCAAAGTAGACACCCTTTGCTTTGTTGACAGCGCTGCAAACCCTCGGCCTTCTCTCAGTGCGCTTCATTATGTAGTCACCTGAAATGGTTTCACCTCACAGGTGTGCCTGTCAGAGTTTATTCTTAATGAGGTTGGGACCATCAGTTGTGTTGTGCAGAAGTTGTGTTGAACCTTGGATTAGAGCCCAGATAGACGCCACACAGAGTTCCAGTAGAAGACACATCTCTACATCAGCTGTTCAGAGGAGACTGTGTGAATCAGGACTTTATGGTCAAACAGCTGCTAAGAAACCACAACTAAGGAAAAGCAACAAGCAGAAGAGATTTGTTTGGGCCAAGAAACACAAGGAATGGACATTAGACCAGTGGAAATCTGTGCTTTGGTCTGATGAGTCCAAATTTGAGATCTTTGGTTCCACCCGTGTCTTTGTGCAGAAAAGATGAATGGATGTTCTTTACATTCATGGTTCCCACTGTGAAGTATAGAGGAGGGTATGGGGGTGCTTTGCTGGTGACACTGTTGGGGATTTATTCAAAACTGAAGCCACACTGAAACAGCATGGCTACCACAGCACAGCATCCTGCAGCGTCATGCCATTGAGTTTGCGTTTAGTTGGACCATTGTTAATTTTTTTTTAAACAGGACTGTGACCCCAAACACACCTCCAGGCTGTGGCAAGGCAAAAGGGCCAACAAGTGCTCAGCGTCTCTGGGAACTCCTTCAAGAGTGTTGGAAAACCATTTTAGGTGACGACCTCATGAAGCTCATGGAGAGAATGCCAACAGTTTGCAAAGCAAAGGGTGGCTGTTACGAAGAATCTAAAATGTGTTTTTTTACTACATAATTCCGTATGTGTTTATTCATAGTTCTGATGTCTTCAATGAGAATCTACAATATAAATACTCATGAAAATAAAGAAAAAACATTAAATGAGAAGCTGTGTCCAAACTTTTAACTGGTAATATATGTATAAAATATCAGGAAAGATGTTCACCTTGGATTTTCCATTCATCAAGATCAAACGTGTGATCTATGTGCTACCTTAATTTTGCTTGAGGAATATGGAGTTTAACTTTTCAACTCCAAAAAGGAAACACAGCATTTGGTGATGTCTACCAGTTCTAGACTTTATGCGGTCATTAACTAAAAAGGATTTTCAACAAATTTGAGTATTGAAAGCAATCTTATAATTGGTAGCTTGTCAAATTACTTTTGAGCCTGTGCAAAGTGTGTCATTGCCCAAATACTTTAGGACTTGACTGTAAAATTCTGTTTTCAGTGACAGAAATGTTTGCGCACGCACACGGCCTAACAGTGGTCAATTTAGCATTTACTTAAAATACCTTAGCCTCGACATAGAGCGAGATCTTGCTCTATAACGACAAGTGGATTATCACACGTTCTGTTTATAGACTGTAGGTTAATATTTGTCAAGTTTGGGAGACATTCTTATAGTTACATATAGGGTCCCCAAACTCCAAAATATAGCTGCAAGACATCTCAATATGTGTTACCTGATGCACTGTGAAAAGTTGCTCTACTACTTCCATTAACAGTGTGGAGAGAAGCTGTGAGAAACGATGATGATAATAATAATAACAGTGTCAGACTGCTGTCACTAAACCAGACTTATAAAAGCAATACCCAAGTGTGAAATTTTTTTTACCCCTCAGCTGCATCGCCCTGTTGTCATCGCCCTGTCAGGTGGACCCAAGCTTGTGAGTGCAATGTAGGATTTCACAGTTGATTCCACAGATGCATCTCCTAAAAATCTCAGACAAGTTTGAGTCTACTAGGAGGCTGAGGGGTGGCACCTGCATTCACTAGTGAGTTGAAAGAAAGAAAAAAATTTATATATATTTTTAATATCTTGCCTTTTCGCCCCATTTTAGTCAGTTACCGCTGCAGACAGATGTTTCAAGGAATTTGTGGTGTACCAGCAAAAACACAACATCTGCCCTGCTTGAAAATGCCATCAACGAGGACGTCTCTACTTTTCCAAATACATGTGAAAAGTCGACTGATGTTTGCAACGGTAGGCGTGATTTAAGCATTGAAAGTTTTAGTGTTAACTGTAAAATGTTGATGATGTGAAATGCTGATGTACTCTGCTTTATGTGCAGATAACACAGAAGCTGAAAAAAGGCTGTCCACCCAGTGCGCACAGACTGCCCACATAGAAGCGTCTGGCATGGCCAATACTCCGAGGGAAGATGTGGAGAATCCCTCTCAGTCCCAGGCTGATATTCATTCCGTCGTCTCTGTTCAGAACAGTCAGACTTGTGAAAAATCCACACCATCCCTTTCTGGAGATCAGAATCTTCCCAGTGTCTCCACCATGGAAAGTGAAACACAGCTTGGCAAAAATCAAGAGAAAACTGTTTTGCTCAATGCAACCATGGAGATGACCTTAAGTGAAGCCACTGAGATAGTCACTGTGGAAACCAAAGCGAAAAAAAAAGTCAGCTCTGGCAGAAAGGACAAGGAGCAAAGCTGCGGCTCAAGTATAGAAGTGCAGAAGTCTGCATCTTTGTTACAAGCACATAAAAAGCCGTTGAAGGATCAAAGTACTGCCACTGTCACTTGCATTCCTAAACTGGGCAAGCATCAGAAAGTATCAAAGGATAAAGTCAAATCTTCTGACCGCACTAACATCACAAATGTAGACCAAATGGATGTGGAAGATTACTTCTCTGATCCTAAAATTAGGTTTTCAAGCACCAGCAGAAGTGTGGCTGAAGAAGCAAGTTCCAAAATAACATGCAGGAAGTCCAGAGCTAAAGGAAAGAGGGCCTCTTCAGTAACCAGGAAAACATTCACTGTGCCGTCTGATGAAAGTGAGAGCAGCCAATCCCACCAGGAGAAAGTCCAAAAACCTAAAGCAGGAGACGAAAGCTTACAGTCTCAAGTCTCGGAGGACGCTCTGCTTTGTGCACAACCAGAGTCAGAGCACGCGGCGCGTCTGTCCTTTAGCAAAACTAATACTGTTACTAATTCTAGGGGAGGTCACAAATCAAGATGCAGGGAGACATTTGTTATCTCAATAACCGGCGACAGTAACTCACCAGAGCATGATGTGGCGCCTCCTACAGGATCTAGCTCTCAGGCAGAAGAAGCAGTCATGAAGAAAAGCGTTGTTGGACATTTAGCATCAAGCAATCGTTCAAAGACTCGGCGCTCTGGGAAGCGATCCTGGGTGGCCACTCAGGACTTTGGGAACTGTCGAGAAGACTCGAGTAGCGGTGACAGTGGTGAAGCACTGCCACTGGACTGGCAGGCGGCTTTAGGGTCACAGTTTCAAAAACCTAAAAAATCCAGGAGAGACAAAACAGGGCAGCCCTGCAGGAACAAAGTGGTGCAGCGAGAAGAGGGTGATGACTTGTTAGATGACAAGACGAAGAAAAAAGACAACAAAGACTTAAGATCTGAGAGTGAAACATGTTATCCTCCTGACCCTAGAGACGCCTCCGCTCTCTGCCTTGATTCTGAAATCGCTAAAGATCAATTACATGATTTACAAATGCTCAACTCACATTCTGTCATCAGCGAAAAGCATGAAATCTTTGAACATTTGAATGATTCGCAGTCCAGGAGGGATTCGAGTCCCACATCATCTAGAAATGTATTCATGCTGAACACAGCCACGGAAACCAGATATCCCAGGAAGACTTTTGTTGTCTACAGACGGAAAACTAAGAACAGAAGTGGATGTAGTTCTGAAAACATCACCAGGATGTCGAATGCATCGGACACCTGCACTCACATGGTGGACACTAGCGACCAGTCAGTTCATCAGAATGTGGGCGACCTGCTGATGGATGAGCTGCCGCCGTGGCTGGACGTGGATAACAGCACAGCTCACATCGATGTGGACTCTCTACCCGCCACTCCAAGCAGGGAAACACCAGGCAGGCTTGCGACAATTGGAACGGCTGAAGCCTCTCCAGGTGTGGAACAGTCTTTATTTACAGCAGTGCAGTCTAATGCAAGCACAGCTCTGTCATCAGCTCTTATGTTACTGAGTTTGTACATTTTTAGTTTTCGTTTGTGACAGATGGGTGATATCTATTTATCTGAACAGAAAAGTATATACATAAGGACAGATTGTGAATTTTGCTATCATAATAGGGCTGTGCGATATGACCAAAATCTCATATCCTCATATCCATCTATCGTCCCAATAACGATATAAATCACAAAAATGTAACATTTTCTGTAAATTCTGTGAATCTCGGGCAGCTCGACTTGCGTGAAGTGTTTCCAGCTGCGCGTCATGTACCTGGAGTCGAGTGTTTTAACCGATGCATGAAACGATACATTTTTAGACATAAGTTGTAACGGCTGCCGTTTTCTTTGTGAGTATTTATTACACTGCGTGCTGCGGGGAAAAGCCTGTTCTAACGTTTGAGTCTAAGGTTTATTTTTTAGCACCTGGCTCTTTTTTGCTTCTCATCCGTCAATACTCTGCATACTCTTTCACGTGATCCAGTTTATTTTGAAACAGGATCTTGAGCTTTATTGTGAAAAGTTTATGTGGAAAATAAACAAGCGGACACGCGATGGTTTCACCATCGTTGTTGCTAACGACAACGCATAAAAACAATCGCTTGTCCGTCTGTAGTGTGGTTATATTAAATATAAGAGAAAGAGAGAACTTTAAGAAATTAATATAGCCACTACAGTGACCATCAAAACCATGAAAAAATATTGCCGTAAACAGTTTATTTTGCGACACCACGAAAGAAACGATAGCGTAAAATGAAACGATAGACGTTTTTATATCGTCATCCGATATATATCGTTATATCGAACAGCCCTAATGCAGTATGAGTAAATGTAGAGGGTAGCTGAGAAGCAAAGCACAGAGTAATATGAGTTTGTCCCTCAGCATTGCATTTCCCAGAGCTGAACCTTTGTGCAGATGAACAAAGCTAATATTTACATTAGTGCCCCACTTATTGTCCTGTTCCTGCGGGGACTGTGAGCTGATATACTTCACCATGACTAAAGAATTAGTTCCCTAACCCAAGAGCTGATGGCAGCACCCCAAAACACTGTAAATACTGCCCACAGTTACCAGTGATATTTGTTAAGCAGTTTGCTGTCTGTCCTCAGCACTGCATGGAGCATGCTATGATGCTGTGCTTAGCAGTACCTCAGGAAGAAGTGAGTAAAATGGAGATACTATGGTTGAATTTGTATCCTCTACACGTATTGGTTACCTGCTGTCTATGTATGTTTTTGTATTTCACTGCAGTTCTATTCATGTGATTTTTTTGCAAACCCATCGGAAACCCTAGTTTGTGAAAGCGGTGACATAGGATTTTCAAGCTTATGGGGCTGCATTGCTCTTATTGTTTGTCCCCGCAGGAAGAGTCTTATCGACAGTAACCAACACTTTTACAACACCAGACTGTGAAAATGGAGAGAGAAGCAGGAGACGGAGACCTGGGAAGGGTGCCGTGAGTTACAAGGAGCCGCCTCTTAACAGGTGAGGATGTTTCTGTCTAAAATCGGTGGCCCCGCGAAAACCCAGAACAGCACAGTATTAACCTCATTTATGTTTTCTATCAGCAAAATAAGGCGTGGAGATAAATTCACTGACACCACATTCCTGAGTTCTCCTGTGTTTAAGGATGGCCGGAAGAAGAAGAAGAAGATGACGACGACGACTGTCAACTGATAATTTGGCTTTTTTCCATTTTACTGTTTTTAAAAATGATTTTATGCTGTTTTCTTATTAAAGTTGTTTGCTAAAATCATTTTTCTACAGATTCAACCAGAAAGTATTGTGTGTCTTTAAGTGCTTTACATTTCACATTAAAGTAGAAATTTGAAGTATTTGTTCTTTGGTTTTTTTTTTCAGGTTTTTTTTTGTTGCCCTTCACCAGGCCAAGTTTTCCTTAAAAACTATTGTAGTCATTATTGTTAACTTCTGTAAAGAGAATTTCCCAAATCTGGTTTAAAATGTATATCTTATCTTTAATGCTAGCATAGCTCAGTTGATGGACTTTTAGGGATTTGGGTTTTTTGTTTATGCACATATATCACATGTATAGCATTTAGTAAAATTTGTGTAATTTTTAGTAATATCAAACTGGCATCAAAAAGGAAAAAATATATACCTCAGGGACATTGTCATATTGTTAAATATTCAAATAATTAGAACCTGTTACTGTAATCGACAGTCAAAGTCATAAAGTAATCTGATATTTAGAATAGAATAATAATAATCCTTTAATTGTCCCACAAGGGGAAATTTGGTATTTAGAATCACCATGTATCATTGTTGTATGTTGGCAATACAAACAACAGCAGTAAAAAACATTGTTTTGATAAATAGCTCTGTGTTATTGTTTTGACATTCAGAACAATCGAGCGACCTTGAAGGAGAGGTCGGGGATCAAATATGAAATAATAGTTTGAATCCTTTTACAGTACTTGTGTTGAGAATGTTTAACACAAGTACAAAGTTACAAGGCTTTGTTTATGACAACAGCTGAGTCATTAACTTGACAGATTTTAATGGGTTGTTAACAGGATCTACACTCCTATAAAGTTTTATTAGAATTCATTCACTTCTTGATCTATCATGTTTACAGACAGAATGATGACATGCACGCATAACCTACTTGGCAGAGACAATAAGGTTTACCTCAGTCACTACATTGCTAAAATGCTGCTGTTTCCTTAACCTCCTAAGACCCGAACTCTTTCATGGCATGCATTTTTAATTTCTCTTTGCTATTTGGGCTGATTGGGACCTGATGAATGTAGAAACAAAGAATTACCAGATTTTTTTTTAAACCAGATTTTTGGTTCTGAGAAAAATGAGATCCACATATGAGGACATCCGTTTTAAATTTCGATAGAGCAGTGGCAGTATACTGTCCTCGTAAGTGGATATCAGGCCCTTGTAGAGCAAAATTTAGTATTTTGGTTTAGACAACCCAAAATGTGATGTCCACATATCTGGATGCCAGGTCCTACTTCAGTACTGGTTTGTAGTACTCTGACATTTTCCTGCTTATACATACATACATTTGTGTAAGTACTAATTTAGCTTTGTACCAAAGTTACAATATGCTATTATGTTGTTTTTCTCCCCTTGCTACATTTATGCACGTCACTGCTCTTTGTGTTTCTACGTAGCCTGCTTCACTTGTTTCCTTGGGATGTCTGGTTTGGTAATGATCAGACTGACAGGTCTGTTGTAAATTATTCAGGCCATGCTGTTCATCTGAGAAGTCTGCTGGACGTTGATGTTAAAAGCTTGTGTCCCACCTAGAAAGGTTAAAGGATTCAGTGTCGCGTGACTGCAGTCGTCTATGTTTAGGATTTTGTATGATCGTGTCAGGTGAAGTACTGTAATCTCCTTTTGACCAGTTGAGTGAGTATCTTTCTTGAAAACACGTGCATGTGTTTAATGTGTTGCTGTTTGTTCTTTGTCTTTATCTAAAATGTGCTACACGGGGAAAAGGAATTCTAGTTTGGATTCAGAAATCATTGATTAGAGAGGAAGTGAGCCCAGTAAGGGTGTCAGGTTGTCTGTGAGATCATCAGTTAATCAATCCTGTATTTTAAGTGAACTGCCTGATGCAAGCTCATTGCCATCCTGATAGATTAAGACAGCGGTCTCCAACCCCCGGGCCACGGACTGGTACCAGTCCATGAGTCGTTTGGTACTGGGTCGCGAGAGTTGAGGCTGTGATATTTATGGTTTTCATGTTTTTTTTATCGTTAACTCGGTTTCCCTGGTTCTTTACCCGTGTAGTTGTGTGTATTATTCTGAAAGAAATGTTTCCATGGTGACTAGAGACCATTATGGGGCAGAGAGGAAATGCTCCTCCTGAAATGCGCCAACAACATTGAGAGTTGGCGCATCTCAGGAGGACGCTGATAATAAAGTGACACAGTGAACTCGCGTTTATCATTATATTTACAAAATACCATAGTTTTTGCTTGGTCGTAACATTTTTATTTGTTGTATTTGTCTGCGACACCTTTATGGCCGATCTGTGGAAATATTGTCTGAGATTAAGCCTTTCCTTAGGGACCACTGGATTAAGAGATAAACTATCCAATCTCATCTGATAGAATTCACATCTACTTGCTTTGTTCCACTAAAGTATGTTTTGGTATTAATTTTAAAGGATTGAAATGGTTATTTGTCCCTCATCAGTTTTTGCATACTAATCGTTAATAACAAAATATTGCAAATGTATTAAAAATCAACAACTAAAATATCTAATTTATAAAGGTATTTAGACCTTTAGTTGAGAAATTTTTGGAAGCCACTTTGCGTTTTGGTCTTGTGTTGCCTGTTTGCATAGGTCATTCTGGGAACTTAACCAATGCAGAGACTGGTTGGGCACATTAGTGAACAGTCCTGCAGGAAGATGACAGTGCAAACTTGAGCCATGATGGCTTTGAGTGCCGGCAGAATGGTGACTGCCTATAGACCAAGACCTTAAGTTGTCTAGAGGATTTGCACGCCTGGTTGCGGACAGTATATCTTATTTCCCATGACAAAACTTCTTGAGCTCCTTCACATAGGATGGGTGGTGTCAGTAAACTGGCATCATAAGTCTCTCTAACGCAGGGGTCTCAAACTCCAGTCCTCAAGGGCTGGTGTTCTGAAACCTTTCCACGTGTCCCTGTTGCAACACACCTGAATACAATTAGTAGGTCATTAGCAAGAGTCTAGAACTTGACTGAACTGCCACCTCAGCATGCTCTATACTTCTATAGAGTCCTGGTAATGCCATAATAATTGTATTCAGCTGTGTTGCAACAGGAACACATGAAGTTTCAGGATACCGGCCCTCGAGGAGTGGAGTTTGAGACCCCTGCTCTAACGTGGTCTGTAGGTTTAAAGCACAGGTGTCAAAGGCCCAGTGTGCTGCAGGTTTTTGATGTGTCCTTGATCCAACACAACTGATTCAAATGGCTAAACTACCTCCTCAACATGTCATGAAGTTCTCCAGAAGCCTGTTAATGAACTAATCATTTGATTAAGGTGTGTTGAGCCAGGGTGCTCTCTAAAACCTGCAGGACACCAGCCCTCAAGGCCTGGAGTTACACACCCCTGGTTTAAAGCATTGGCATTATACTACCACTACCATGCTTCACTCTAAGGATGGTATCAGCACACTAGTGATGGGATTTCCGGCTCTTTTTAGAGAACCGGCTCTTTCGGCTCCGAACCGGCTCTTCAGGTTGTTTTGTTGCTTTAATTAATTTATTATTAACAAGAATATAAAATTAGGCACAAAAGGAATTACTAATGTAAAAAAAAGTGGTTTTATTTATATATGTTTATATATAAATATATACAGTGGCCCCTAGAGACAAAACACATACAAACTCCAAAACACATTTCTAGCGTTAACTGAACTTCAAAACAGAGCTACCTAGATCACTTAAATTACACGATTGAAAGCATATGTGTATTGTCTGTGTATTTATATACAAGCACTCATATATATTCAAATAATTAAAAAAAAGTTCATTTACCTGTTACTACACTGTTACAAAAAACATCTTAAAAAAACAGTAATATTCTGGCAGCTGGGGCGCCCAAATACTACCGTAAAATAACAGAAAATAACTTTCTCATGAAAATACAGTTATTTTCAGTAATGAAAATAGAGTTTGTTGCGCTAATTTTACATGGGATTTTGCCTTTTCCAAGTGCTTTCAGACATTAAATTAGGAACATTTTAACGTGATCAAACAATGAAATTACCTATAAACATGTCAATGAATGTGGCAATATGAATCATAATACGTAAATGTACAGAAATATACAGTTAACAGTTGGTTTAAATAATAATGGATTGCATGCCCTGGGACAGACTGACCGAGGCGAGGCTGCCATATCGCACCATCGGCCCCTCTGGCCATCACCAGTAGGTGAAGAGTCTTGACCATGGACACAATACCGAGAGTGTCCGAGCCGGGGCTTGAACCGGCAACCTTCTGATCACAAGGCGAACTGCTAACTCTTGAGCCACGATCGCCCTAAATATAGCCATAATAATACTTATGTGATGTAACACAAGCTTATAGGAATCATGTTATATACTTTTCCATAGCATTACATTTGAATTCAACAGTTCGATCTTTCAAATAACGGACAGATATTTGTGAAATCATGATACATTTGTGAATGTATTTTAACAATCTAAATATGCATGTGTACAGACAGATACATTTGATAATCATGAAAATTATGTTTTATTACATTACAGTGATTTAACATTAATTTACATTTGAAATGTGAAATCACAGTCTATTTACGTGACTTTAATGATATTCTAGAAGAACAGAACAAAACTGTGAAATGCACAGCAAAATACTTTTATATTAGCATTTTTTCCTACAGTGCAGCCATACCCACGACCTTGTGGTTGTTAGTTCACATTCATTGGCCGATGCTTAGCGTCATGTTATTATGTATCCCAACATCCAATGGCATGTCACATTGTTTTCATGGCCACACCCTCACCCCAGGTGCAGAGGCCTATTTCTGTTCAGGAATGTTGTGAATACTTTGAGATTTATATTAATTGCAATTCCTACCTCTACATTTATTTTTTAAAATATATAATTAGCACAGTGTGGCCGTGCAATGTTTTATATGTTTTTTTTTGTTTTTATTCCTATTAATTATATTTTCACTTGTTACCTCTGAATTATTGAATCAGACCTAGATGACAGGAAATTTTCAGCACAATTATAATTCAAATACTCCTTTGATTATTGATTATTCTCATTAATTTTCGATCATTTTATATATTTTTCCATAGTATTACATTTGGATTTGACAGATCATTCTCTCACATAACAGACAAATATTTGTGAAATTATGATACATTTGTGAATGTATTTTTACATTCTAAATATGCATGTGTACAAACAAATATATTTAAAAAACAAGTAAATTGTGTTTTACTATATGTACAGTGATGTTATGTTATTTTTACCTTTGACATGTAAGATCACAGTCTACTTATGTAAATTTAATGTTATTCTAGAAAGACAGTACAATACTGTAAAATATACAGTAAGATACTTTGACATTACTATTTTTTGGAACAGTGTACCACACACCAAATCCGGTCATTGGTACTTGCTGGCTTGTGTAGCCACCAGGTAACAAAAGCTCAACACTGGGCCTAGCATCCTGGAGCACTTCTGTTGTGTTTTGTACGTGCTTCTGAGTTTGTACGTGTTTTGAAGTTTGTATGTGCTTTGTCTCTAGGAGCCACCGTAAATATACTTTTATTTATTCACTCCACATAAAATGTAATAAATAAATCATATAATACAAAAACCAACAAGTCACAGTTCAACTTTTAACTATTTAAATTTTCAGCTTTTTCCTTTTAAACAAATTTAAAATGAAACATCACAAAACACTGCAAAACACAACACAATTAAATATAAATTAAAATATGAAAAAAAAGAACATGCATATTCTCTGTCATATGGACCTGCATGAATAAACTTTCTGAATCCTTTATCATCTGCAATTGAAAATAGTTGTGGATGCCGCTCTTTCTCTGTCTCTCCCTCTGGCTCTGTTCCTGTGCTACTGTGAGTGTAACTACCGCCCCTCCCCCCTCTGCCCAGCGCAAAGCACAAGGCTCGTGTGCGGAGTGAAGCGGAAAAAAAGTGCATAGGGAGAGGGTGAGAGAAGGAAAAAAAAAAAGACACGGCTCGCGATAAGGAGCAGGCTCGCGTTGTTCACGTCAAAGATCCGGTTCTAAGAGCCATTTCGTTTGCGACGACACATCACTACAGCACACACACTACCTCTAGTTTATTAGTGCAAAGAGTTTATATTTTTTGTAATCCTTTTCCATGTGCTCACAGAGGCCTTTCAGAGCTTTCTGACAAACACAAAAGCTTATATTCATGTCAAAAACCGCAGGTGAGAAAAAACGCAGTCAGGAGCAAATAATTTCATTTCATGGGTGCAGATATTCATTGGCACTCAATCAATTACATTCTTTGTGTATAAATTCAATAACCTGCAGGTGTAGAACTCAGCAGCCGCGCACATAGAGAAGCCATCATGCATGCAACATCGAATTCTATAACTTTCTTGCAAAGTTTTCTGTTTATCGAGGATTGGTTCCTGGTAAGTTGGTCCTTTCCCTGGTGTGCGCTCTTTCTGCTCAAACTGGCCAGATGCCCATCTCTATGAAGTGTCCCAGTGACTGGAGAATTCAATAAAAATGAACAGTAGGCACATCAAAGGGTCTGAATATGTTAACTGAAACATTAAAAGCATGGTTTCACATTCAGTTAGGTTACGTGTTGTTAGGAAAATTACACTTTTATCATTCAAAAATGAATAAAACAACAAATTGCACAAAACGCTGAGGTGACTAGTTAAGATGTAGAAGATGTACTGTGGACTGTACATGTGTTGATTTCTCTGCAGGAGTCCTAGATGAGAGGATTTCATTCAGAAAATGGAGGCAAACAAGCTCAAAAGAGATGTTGAGGCCCTTATGTGAGTGGATGCTAAAATGTTACAAAGCATACCGTGCAATCGGTAAGTAAACTGGCAACTGGTTCATTTTCTCCTGTTCCCAAACAGAGACAACTACATTGGACAGAAACTTAGGGAAGACGCCTTTGATCCGAAGGGCAAGGGAACTTTCACAGCGCTGGATGACTTGGTAAAAACTCAGCAGAAGCAACCAATGCTAAAATAATGTTTTAATGTATAACTAAGTAGAGCTGACAACTTCTGTGTTGTAGGCTCACTATGATCTTGCAATCAGTGTTGCCCTTTGGTGGCTGGAGAAGAAGGAAGGACGACATGTGCTCGACAGAGAGATCATGTACGTTTTCTGTTTTTTAAAGTTAAGCGTTCAATCATTGATACTCCTCAATTATGTTTATTATGCTCACAAAATTTAGTAAAAATTAAATAACAAGTAGAAAAATAAACAAAACTTTGGTAAAAGCAGCTGTAATAAGACATGATGCCGTACAGTGCATTTACAAAGGCAAATGAATAGAGTCAGTTGGTGGATTGGTTGCCTTTCATCACCTTCCTCCTGCACCACAGTGGAGCAACATGCAGTTTAGGAAGTGCCCAGTATCCTAATCGCTTAGAGCGGGAGGCTATGATCTTGTCATCCTTTGCTGGGATTATTATGGTAAGGATATTTACATGTAAATGCAACTTTTAATAAATCTAAAAGCTAAAGGTAAACTCTCGAAAAATCTTCCTGAGAGTACTTTGATGCACTTAATGCCTAAACTGCTTATTTTAACTGTTGTGTGTTTCTGTTTAGAGTAGCCTGCCAGTGGAGGAAATCTTGACTCTGTACAGGTGTAAACCAGCCACTTCATACCCCAACCAGAAGTCCAAGGTACAAAGGTGTCCTAGTTAGGAAAGTGGCTGCAACTGTTTTATTCTTTTTGAAACATAATTTTGCCTAAAAACATCCCATTCCTTTTTCTTTTTCTTAACCCAAGGGCTCAATTGTCTATCCCATCACTCTGTCCTATCATCTGTTTGCAATACTTGGATCCTACAAGGCCGTGTACCACTCCAAGAAACACAGTAAGTGTGTGTTATCTGGTTTAGCCTTTATGGTAGTGACGAGAGAATAAAGATACAAATTGTTTCTCAAATGGGAATCAAATAGATTTCTATACAATTAAACTGCTTTGTACAACCAAAGAGTTGCTGGCAACTTTAATACAGTCTATACTTGAAACAAGTCTCAAAACAGAGTGCGTCTGGTGCTTGGCAAGAATATTTAGATTTTATGAGTACATATAAAATATAATCAACTTAAAATAAGATTTTCTTTTCTTTTTTTACTCTTTCTGGAGACACAATCCTCAGCAGATAAATGAGTATAGCAAAACCTCTCTGACCTCTTAGTAGTGTACTCAGCAGTATTTATCTTGAGTTTCCTGGGAAACTTTAAGTAAAAAAAAAACAAAACAAAAGCAAGAACTTTTCCTTCTTTTGAGTTTTAATCTTCTTTGATCTGTGTTTTGTTTCTTTAAACAATATAGACAACATCATCAACAATGTACTATTCTGTCTACATGAACTTTTATGACTTCTGTTTTGTTTTTTCTTTGATTTTTTGCCTTCCCATTCATACATTCATACATTATTCTTTAAAAGTATCAGTTTGCAGAATGTTTGATTTTTGAGCCAAGTAGAAATATAAGGAATACAAAACAGAAGCACTCAAACATGTACTTCAGTTCAGTAGTGACTGAGTAAAGCTATTCTGCAGACTCAGGCTGACTGCAATTGACAGCAGTTATTTGCTGGGAGGCAGGTTGGCTCCTACCAGGTGACCAGTGAGCAAAAATGGTCTCAAACCAGTTGGTTGCTTCAAATGCCAAATGTGAAAGAAAATTCGTTCCAATCATCCTGGGAGGTTTTTCAATCTAGTGTGACTGAGCCATTAATATTCCGAAGGACTGTTTTTTGTTTTGTTTTTTGAAAACAAACAAAAAAACCCAAACAAACCCCAAAACGAAACTTTTGCAGATCAGAAGCTGAAAAGATGGCTGTCTGGGCAGACAAAGGCAAGTGCTCCACCGAAGCAAGTTTCATCTTCGTTTTCCACTTCATCTCAGTCCTTCATCAGTGTGAGTACCGTATCTGAGCAATCACCATATGTGTGGTAGGCAAAATAAGAACTAACGTCTCTAAATAGCAAGGAAAAATACTTCAGTAGTCAGTACAAATCATGTAAATGGCTGCTGTGTTTCCCTTCATATACCATATACAACATGCAGATATGTTTTAAACTTTTAACCACTTGCTAAACCCAGCTGCATTAACACCTGCATCTGTTTTATTAACACCTGCTGCTTACCAAGTAGTCTCCTTGTGGACAAGCAGCTTTATTTCAATGATGAAAGTAAAGTGAAGGTCGCATCTTCAGGAGACAGTAGCTTCAGCACATCAGACACACCTCGATATTTAATAATCTGACATCAAGCAGATTATTAAAGACTGCCTTTATTGTACATAGAGCCAAATTAAAATAATACTCTATGGTGCCATGGTATAACACAAGATGTTGACTAAAACACGAGACGGTAGCACGTAGAATAAATAAAATCACACCTTTTAGGTTTTTTTCTTATTTAACATCCGCACCGCCTGCTGAAACAACCTTTTGCTAAATCTGGACGTGTGAGTCTTGGCTGACCTGTAACACCACAATAGATGATGGCCAGGGTGAGTGAAGTCCTGGACAATTTTGGTATTTCTGCTGAGGTAGCGTGATATGGCACTCTCCTCCAGAAACGAGCAGTCAGTTCTTTTCTGTGCAGTTCTTATCGCTCATTGCTGCACTTTCTTTTGGAAGTTGCAGTGGTGTTGGCCGACCAGGAGAGGTCCTTGTATATGAAACCCCCAGGATGTCTGCACCCTTCCTACGTGTGCTCCATTTATACAGTGAGGGGCAGAACTGTGTCATATTTCCTCCACTAATAATGCAGTTGTCTTTGTGGTGATGAGTCTCTGGTTATTTACCAAGAATCGCTCAGATAGTCTTCATAGCTCTTCTCTGCATGCTGACTCATTTCTTGTGATAAGCTTAATGATGGTTGTGTCTAATTTAATTATGGTGTTATACGAGCAGACAGGTACGTAGTGATGGAGTAGTAGAGGTGGGGACCTAGTTTGACTGTCTGTGAACGGCTGGTGAGGAAGTCTTTGGTCCTGGTGCCGATGGCGATCGAGAGGCCAAGTCATGTAGCATGCTGATTAGCATGTCCACGGGATGTCCAGCTCTGTGTTCCAGGTGGTTTAGTGCTGTGTGGATGGTGATTGCCTCTTCGGTGGGTCTGTTAGCTTTGTGTGCAAACAGATGTGAGCTAAATGTGGAAGACCTTTGTTGTTGTAGTCTTCCCCAGACCTTTCTTGAGTTGTTACATGTCAGGTGGTCCTCAGTGCCACTGTTGTAGGCCCTCTTAGTCTCCTGTAAATACAGTTTGGGTAATGCGGTTCTTTTTTTCTTAGTATTCCCACATTTCCCTGACCTCATGGCATTTTCAGTCTAAGTTAAGGAAAAGTGATTAGGTATAAGAGATAGGAAGTAATTTTGAAATGTTCAACATCAGTCCAGAAATATTTCAGAGAAAAGACTAGGATTTGAAATGCCCAAAGCCAAGAAGGAAATATTTGAACAGTAATTTCTTGTTACAACGTCTGCATTGAAAATCCTCTGCTGCCACCCTGTGGATCTAAACAGACCTCCCATACGCTCTGCTTCACTTTTAGGACAGCAGTGATGTTCACCAGGAAAGGACTGAGCACTATGAAGGCTCGCAAGAGTCTCTGCACAACTGACGTCAACCTCCAGCAACTGCCAGATGTAGAGACATTGAGCTAGAGCAATAATACCAACATGAAATGGTAAAACTGCTCAGTTGAATGTTAAGGTACTCAACTAAAAATGTCACTTAAACTCAGAAATGCACTTGAAGTACTCAGAAATAAAAGAGACATAAACAGAGAAGTATTTTCTGTCAACTGGGCTTTCATTCATTATATGAATAAGTTGTTACTACATTCAATGTCATGCTTTAATGTGTTTCCTTCACTCCTCGCAAAGTGCCATACCAGACTGTGTTGGTGGAGTTTATGCGATTTTGGAGGTCTGATGATCTGAAGCACAACTCCATGCTTCTTGGTCAAACAGCCTTTGGTGACGCTGGAGATGTGTAATGACTCAAACTACTGATGGTCTCACTGGAGTCAGAGATTTTTAAAAATATATTATTTACCCAGGAAAAACTCCAAAAACTCTTGGAGTTAAAAATGGCTTGTCCTCACCAAGAAAGACACAGCTCATACACAAGGTCAGGGTTTACTGATTTTCATATTTGATATGACCTTGACCTAATTTTCATCAAAATTAAATTGGCTCAACCTGTCACTGGTATCTATCTGGACTGGACTTCTTTAAGTTGTTTGAAGACGTTTTTATTTCTCATCCAAGAGGTTTCTTCAGTTCTAAAACCAAAAGGTGGAGAGTCCCGGATATTTAAACCCTAGTAAAGATTGGTAAATGGACTGATCCTTATATAGCAATTTTCTACTCTATCTGAGCACTCAAAGTGCTTTACACAACTTGTCACACCAGTACTTTTTTCCCCCTAAGCGCTTATTATCTAACATTCATACATACCCCGATGGATGCATCAGAGAGCAACATGGGGTTAGTATCTTGCCCAAGGATATTTGGCATGTAGACTGGGATCAAACTGCAAACCTCCCAGTTAGTTAGTAGGTGACCTGCTCTACCACCTGAGCTACAGCCACCCTCAGGATTGATTCTGTGAAGGGTCGTTGACCCACTATTGATCATGTATGTCAGGGGTGTCAAACTCAAATACACAGTGGGCCAAAATTCAAAACTGGAACAAAGTCGCGGGCTAACATTAATATTTATTGAAATATATTTATTCCTCCAGATATAAGAATGAATCTTTTCTTATGGACTCAAACAAGTTTTGCTGAAAAACTTAATATGGAACAAGCAAAGCTTAATACTAAACAATATATATATTAGCTGTATAATACCAGTAGGCCAGCTCTAATAGTAATTTGGTATGGCTTCGCGGGCCAAATGTAATTAGGCTGCGGGCCAAATTTGGCCTGTGGGCCAGAGTTTGACACCTATGATTTCATCAAAAGGTCCAGGGTGTGAAAAAAAGGTGTGGGTCATTACCAACAGAGGTTTCGGGAGACACCTGTGTGACACGTTGCCTCAACCTCTCATGTACCTATTGAAGTCACCTGATGAGTTGGGGTTGAGGCGCCTGGGTAGGGATCTCAAAACTGGATTGTAGGTGGCAGACAGTGTGTCATAGGCCACCGCCTCTGTTCAATGACGGTCATTCACAGTAGACATAGAGGCCTGTTTCAGTCCTTTTTCAAACCATCTTTCTTCTCTGTCCAAAATGTGAACGCCGGGAACCTTTAAAAGAGTGAACTCTATCCTTTAGGTGCAGATATACAGCTGAGTCTTGTCCCGTCGAGGTGGCATGCGTTTATGGAGTGGCTATTTGGTTTCTCCCATGTACAATCTCGGCACTCCTCATAGCATACAGCAACATAAGTTTATGCTTTTGACAAGATTCCCTTATTACCTGTTAAACATTCCAGTTTTGTCTTTGATGAAAACAATGAAATCATTTTTGTTACCTCAGGTTATGTTATTAATTTAGATAATCAGTTTGTGGATAAATGATTATTATAGGTTTGTTACCTTGCAGTATAAACTACCCTGATGCGACTGTTGTTGCGGCTATATAAATACAATTGAATTGTTATAGAAATGTAAGAAAATCTCAAATGATTGACTTTTAGAATCAGTCCTAATCCATGTCCAGTAATATTTAGAAGCATTTGTTACCATTGTAAGAGAAAAACTGGATATTTGGTATCCTATCTCTTTACAATTACATATCAGATTGTTTGCAGAGTAACTAAAACTGTCAAATAAGTGTACCTGAATACAAACTCCAGGGTGACACAAAGTAAAAGCACCTAAATATCACTTTGGTACTGATATTGACTTTACACTGAAGGTGCCTGGTCCCATTTTCCTCATACAAATAAAACACACAAATCCACATTTTTCTTTTTTGGAATTTCTGCAAATGTTTATAGAGGCTGATTCGTTTTGTGATTACCTCTGACATTCTGCGAGCAAAGATTAATCTCCTTGATGAGTGGATAAAATGTGTCTCTAATGTCCATATCAATAAAGAGGGCACAGTGGGTCAGTAATTTGCCTGGTAGGACTTTTGCATTGATGATTCAGGGATTTTCGCTGTATGCGCAGGATCAAGACTCTTGGCAACGATGCCAGTACGTTAAATCCCCACTCATTGAAAAAACAGCTAAAGTGGGATCTGCTAACCCTTTGATTGAGGTTTATATAGCGGGGCTGTGGTGCCGCTTTGTGAGACCACCATTTTTCTGTAGGTGACTGGCTCCAGCACACTGCAGGATGAGTAGTAAGGTAAGAGAGATTCATTTTTGTTTAGAAGTGGGCTTCTTCAAGCTGACAAGTTGCGTTGCAGCTTCTCAAATAATGATTAGGTTCTAAAAACTAAACTGCCAGAGACACCGACAAACTGACAGTGCCTTTAACTGGCTTTAACAACCCATGACATAATCAACACTACCAGAATCACACATACAGGCTCGACTGAAATCTGTAGTACAGCATCACCAGACTTGGCTGTGACTGCCTCTGTCCACCCTCCTCCTCCTCCCCTGGCTTTAGATCATATTCTATGAGGACAGAAACTTCCAGGGTCGCTCGTATGAGTGCGACACCGACTGCCCTGACATGCACCCCCACTTCAGCCGCTGCAACTCTATCAAGGTGGAAAGTGGTTGCTGGGTGCTGTATGAGAAACCCAACTACACTGGCTACCAGTATGTTCTGACCAGAGGCGAGTACCCAGACTACCAGCGCTGGATGGGCTACAACGACACCATCCGCTCCTGCCGTACCTACTCCTATGTGAGTGAACAGGAAACTATGTGCAGTTAATACTATGAAAAATGTCATCTGAGAATTACATTTTCTGACTTAGAAGTGGTTTTATGTCATTATTTAGATGATTAAACCACTGATATTTACTGTTTTCTATGTGCACAAGCCAAATAACATGATTAAAATATTAGATATTTTTTCCTTCCAACTAAAGTTGCACTTTAATAAGAGTTTAGATTTAGTTGCTGAAAAGTGCAAAGTGCTTTCTCTGTACAGAATCCACATGAAATAGTTCAAGGTTAGGTGTAAGACAAGCTAATGTTTGCCAAACAAGTAAATAAAAGTCAATTATAAATGTCAAATAAGTTGTTGTTGCTGTTTTCTCATAATTATGACACATTGTAAAACTGTATTAAATCAGGTTCCATGTATTATCTGTATATTATTATTTTTTATTTTAAGCACGTCTATGTTTAACTATTCTTTTGATGTGGCATGACAAATAAATACCAGCCTCTGACATTACTTAATGGAATTTTATTTGCTCACATGCAGATATCACTGAACAAGGCCAATGTGGGCCAACATTTAACTGATATATTAATGCAGTCCTACAAATTTAAAATTAAAAAAACCCAATGGTTTTGACTTTTTTTTTTTAAATTTATTTATTTTTTAGACATATTAATTTTTTAAGAGTAAGCTATGTTAATTTCCAATAAATCTTCCCCTCACACACACCCATACAGAGCTGCAGACGTACTGATGCTACTCTAATTTTGTGTTTTACCTTACTGCTATGTTCATCCAGACCAGCGAGGGGCCCTACCGCATGCGCATCTACGAGCGGCCCAACTTCCAGGGTCAGATGATGGAGTTCAGTGAGGACTGCGAGTCGGTGCAGGATCATTTTCGGAGCCGTGACATCTATTCCTGCAATGTCATGGATGGCTACTGGACCCTCTACGAGCACCCAAACTACCGTGGCAGGCAGTACTTCATGAAGCCTGGGGAGTACCGCAAGTTCAGTGACTGGGGGGCCACCTGCGCCACCACTGGCTCCTTCCGCAGAATCACAGAGTTCTAATCTGGATTGAATCACTATAGAAAAACAAAACAAAATAAAAATGGTAACGTGTCTCAGCGATTGACTTGGCATTAGTAAGATATAACTTCATAAATAAATGGAGCTGTTGTTAAACTACTTTCTGTGCTTTCTTTGTTACTGACTGATTTAACTAACATCACATGAAATGTCACATAAATGTTTCCATTTTGTGGAAACATTTCCAGCATTTAAATATCATCATCTATTATATGGGCATTCCACACATTGACATATTTATTTGAAACCTTAATAGTTTCCTGTGCGAGAATGAGCCTTTATCTTATTTTGACATACTTGCACATTCGATAAGGAGATTGCCATGTGGCATTAATATAATTAAAACGAACATGGCATTGTTCTGCTTAATTTTTACTGCATAAAATTTAGTGAAATTGCAGCGGAGAGTTTTAGAACAGTGGTCCCCAACCCCCGGGCCTCGGACCGGTACCGGTCCGTGAGTTGTTTGGTACCGGGCAGCGAGAGTTGAGGCTCAGGTGTGAAATGTATAGTTTTCAGGGTTTTTATCGGTTTTCAGCGTTATTTTGTTATCGTTTTTATCGTTTACTCGGTTTTCCTTGGTCTTTTCACGTGTGTTATGAATAAATTTTCTTTTTTCGGTACCGGTACTAGTTTTATTTTGTTGTATTTATCCGCGACACCTTAAAGGCCGGTCCATGAAAATATTGTCGGGCATAAACCAGTCCGTGGCGCAAAAAAGGTTGGGGACCGCTGTTTTAGAACACACTCACTGACACGAGTGTTTCTAATTCTTTGTAATAAGGTAATTATTTGCCAAATTTTGGTGTAATGTTTGTTGGAAGTACAGTTTTTAGTTTTTCTAGTAGTCAGTCTCACTCCTACAGAAAATTATAAATCAATATCAACACACACCAGCAAAAAGAAACGTTTTATAGGCACTTACTCACCCTTCATACTCTGAATCCAGCCCATTTAAAGCAAACACATTAAGATTGAAAGAGCTGTGACTGTTCCAGCGCCTGCACATGTTGTAGCTCTTGCTGGAAGCTGTATGGCATCTGTTAACCTGAACACAGGACATGACAAACAGGAGTGGGAAGACTCTTGTAATATTTCTGCTGACACCACGCCTCATTTAAATAACACCAACTGCTCCCAAAAGGGTATTGTATATAAAGATGGAAGCTAATTTTAGGATTTAAAAACGCAGGAAGAAGTTTGACCAACAACAGCAGGCATTATGGGAAAGGTTCGTATGTTGTTTTACATGACGGATATCTGTAGATCAAAAATGAGCTTACATGCCTTTTTCTGTCCCTCGGTCAGATCATCTTCTATGAGGATAAGAACTTTGGAGGCCGTTACTATGAGTGCATGAGCGACTGTGCCAACTTGCACTCTATGTTTGACCACTGCCGCTCCATTCGAGTGGAAAGTGGCATGTTTATGATCTATGACCGTCCGGGCTACGCGGGAAACCAATATTTCATGAGGAGGGGAGAGTACTCCGACTACATGGGCATGACCGGTATGAATGACTGTGTCAGATCTTGTCGCATGATCCCCTCGGTAAGAACCTCAGTAAAATACCATCACTGTGTCATTCTGCATCTTAACCTCTTACAATAATAGATTCAGCGCACAGAAAAACATACACCAACTATTCAATGATTTTCTTTTTCGATTAAAAAAGTAACTACTCTGAAATTAGAAATGAAGGTGATTTCACTTAAACTAAAGAGGTCACTGCTGACTGATCCAAAGCTGATAAAGTGCTGCTTTTGTGCTCTTCTGTTAATTCTAATGTTTTAAATTTTGCTTGCCTGTCCTCCAACATAACCGCCAAGCAGCAGACTTTTAGCATGTAGCATTAGCCAATAAATGGGCTAATTTTGCTACAGCAATCTGTGTTCAGAGGTGTTTTTTGTTTAAGAAATATAAACTATCCTATCCCACCAGAGAACTTTTGTTTTCTTGGTAGAGGACCATGATGTAATATCCTTTTCGGCAACCATAGTAGCTACACGCTAGCTTGTTACTGTCTTTTTTTCTCCCGTTTTATGGACAGTGGCAAGCTGGGGAAATTGTTAAGATGTATTAGAGTGAAAATCAGACTGTTAATTGCACTGGTTTACATTATCAGATACTTGTGATACTTGTAATACATAATACTTGATATTAATATTTCATTTTTAAAAAGTATGGTGGTACTGGTATGTTAACATTAATTAACACGTACCATGCCTACCAGTGGTGTAGAGTAGAAATGGCCTAGAAACAGGCATCAGCGTTTACTCTCTTCTTTTAGTGCCAGTATGCAGCTTATTGCAGATATTTTATTAGGTATGTGGTGCATCTCATCATCTAACCCACAGCTATGCACATGAACAGATTTCACAAAAAACAAACCTAATGTGACCGTTTGACTTTCCTGACCTCTGCAGTACAGTGGCAGCTTCAGGATGAGGCTGTATGAGCATTTCGACATGGAAGGCGGAATGATGGAACTGACGGATGACTGTCCTAATCTCATGGACCGTTTCCGCCTCTCCAACTTCAACTCCTGCAATGTGACAGATGGCCACTGGCTGATGTATGAGCAACACCACTACAGGGGGCGCCACTACTACCTCTCACCTGGCCAGTATAGGAGCTTCAGCAACTGGAACGCCATTAGCTCCAGGGTTGGGTCCATCCGACGTCTCATGGATTTATAAAGACGGAAGGACAGTTCTTGTGAAATGTCTACTCTTTGCCTTGTTTTACACACTGAATAAAATGGCATCAGTGCTCAAGTGTACTCAGTTTTGTTTTTGCTCTCTGCATCTAGAGGGCATCTTTCCCCAAGAGAATGTGCTGGGCTTGTGGCCTGACATCCTAACTCTCATAAGAGGATTGAATAAAATCATTCAAGCACTAACACTTTTCTCACCCAGGCTCAAGCGTTATCTATTGGACCTTTGTGTTTGTTTAGACATGAGCAAATATCCTACAAATTAACACAAGCATTTTGAAAGGTTGTCAGTAAAAATGTAAACATTGTTTCTATTTTGGTCAGAAATAAAGCTCACCACCAGATGGCAGTGGTAGAATAAAAATTACATAAAACACAAACTATCATTCTGTTGACAAAAACACAGACAGACTCATTTCTACCATAGGAAAAAACTATTCTAATCAAGTAGCTCCAAATAAAACAACTGGAGGTTTTTATGTCTGAGCAACTAGAAAAATGAATGTAAACATTTAGAAGATATCTTGGTGAACGTGGGTGGAGCATAAACCCTCAGTCTGAGGTAAATTTTAGCAGTGCAACAACAAACAGCACCCATTCAGAGTTGACATTGGACCAGTCAGCGCTCACCTGTACATACATAATCCCCAAACATCTCTTCAGGATAACACAACGGCACAAATGCCAAAGATTCCTGGCATTACAATATGAATGACACGTGCAGAGTCTGCATTTCACATTCACTATATATGTAACAGGTTTGAGTCTTCAAAGAGCTGGATGGATCATACAGAGACTAGGCACAGGGCAGGAGAAGCAGCCAACATGGGGAAGGTAAAAATGACAGTTTTGGGCAAACAAGCAGGTGGGGTATGAAATGCTAATAGGCTTCCTGAGTGTTCACAACGTGTACCGAGATGTCCATTAAAACCATGAAAATGCTCGGAATACTGAAGCAAATATAATCATTTTTGTTTCCAATGAACATATTTGCAGTGCAAACACTGAAAAAAATATGATTTGTATGTTTAGATTATCTTCTATGAGGACAACAACTTCTCTGGGCACCATTTTGAGTGCTGTAATGATTGTGAGGATTTGTTAAGCCGACTCAGCCGCTGCAACTCAATCAAGGTGGAGAGTGGTTGCTTCATGATCTATGAAAAACCCAATTACTCTGGTAACCAGTACTACCTGAAGAGAGGAGAGTATCCGGACTTCCATCACTGGATGGGTGTCAACGAGTCTGTCAGCTCCTGTCGTTACATCCCTACGGTGAGCTACTGTTTGTTGGCCAAACCCAGCCTTATACATTCACTGGAGTTCACACTGCCTCTTGATAGATTGTGAGAATGTAAACTAACCAGACCTAACTTTTATTGAAACAATTTTTAAACCTTTGTTTTTAAATGTATTTCAAGATTTTGCAAACACTTTTTAACCTACAGGTTTAAAAACAGTCTCCATTATAGACTCTTTATAATCTTAGCTGCCGTTCTGTTTTTAATATTTTCTAAGTAATAGCATATTATGTCTAATTTACTTATTCCAAACTGTTATATAAATCAAATGGATCTTTATACAAGAGAGTGCATCTTAGTTTTTGCTATTGATCTTCCCAAAACAACTGTTGTAGGACTAATTTTGCCTTTGGTGTAATATATTTTAAATGTTAGCATGATTTCACTGTTGTTTCACCTTAAAGAAAGGCTAAATCAGTATTTGAAATTAATTTTACTTTGGATTTTCTTTGAAGAAAATGTAAAAAGAGGGTAGCTTTTACCATAAAAATGGTCAAATCAGTTATGAATACATGACGTTTTGCTAATTATAACTTTATTTAAATAACTACAGAATTAGTCTGCTCTATAAAGGTGCATGAATGCTGACACAAATCTAATGCCTATCAAAACACTTTATAATAAAAAATATCCATCCAGTCAATCTGTACCACAGTTTTTAGAGTCTTGAAGATGGGCCGGCCCAGGTACTGGATTTCCACTCACAGGTTTTGCTAGTGGTAAATGAGCCATTAACACATGTTTTAGAGTCCACTTTAAGTATTTGTTGCCTTTACTTTTTGTGCAATCTGAGGAAGTGGAACTGTGTCTTTCATTTTGACCAAAGTAGGTACATTAGCATGTTTAGCTAGATTAGCTAGCAAGCTAAAAACATATTATTTCATCGTCTTTCACAAAGTCAGTTTCCCAAACTCAGTTTCCCAAACTCATTCAGTATTATTTCCTTGTAGCAAAATAGAAGATTCCATAATTACATTTGAGAGTCATTACAATTATAACAACTTTTTTTTTTGTAGAGGTAGTTCCTGAAGGTGCAGCTGAGTAAATAATGACCATCTTTGATTCAAAACTAGGAGCCTGGGATGTTCAACATGCGCCTGTATGAGCGGATCGAGTTTGGGGGTCAGGTGATGGACCTTGTGGATGACTGTCCCAGTGTCATGGATCGCTTCCACGTTAATGACATCTTCTCCTGCAACGTGAAAAATGGCAACTGGCTCTTCTACGAGCACCCAAACTACCGGGGCAGGATGTACCTGATAAGGCCTGGAGAGTATAAGAGGTTCAGTGAGTGGGGTGGCAGGAGTGCCAGAGTCGGATCCATCAAACGCATCATGGACTATTGACCACCTTTGGTAGTTGCCAGAGCTACATGAACATTTTAGAGAGCCTTCATACTCAGATAATTATGCTTGCAACACTAAAGAAAGAAACAGAAAACAGTTTTTGTCACTTAGTCAAAATACTACTGTCCTGCATCAGAACATTCCCTTATGTAAAGCTTGGGCTCACCATTGGACTCACCATTGTAATAAAGCAATTGCAAAATGGAGTCGTCATAGTCCATTCAGTTGTGAGGAGGACCTCATTTATCAAAGCATGATTTGTTAGTACTGTAACGTTTCAAACAAACAGATTAGTCCATGGTGGTAACCTGATCTGAGTAAGACATTTTTGTAAGTCCTTCATATGAAGTCATAGCCAACATTTTTGATACTTTAGAAATGTTGACTCACATAAAAAAACCCAACAAGCAAACAGCTGGCAGCTTGTGCAAATTATGTGCTGGCTCTATTAAATATCAGTATTATTCTGCTGATGTTGTGCAGGACTATGTGACTATCATCCTATTGTACAACAGCATTTTCGGGAAGAAATTGTGATGAACATGGAGGAAAGAACAATAACGACACACACCAAGAGTCATCTATACATAAACAGATTTTCCTATCTGCCCACCCCCACTTGTGATCCATCATCACTGTGGGGATATATTTAAATGACAATACTTTATGCTGTGCAATCACACAGCAGTCCTTTCTTTCTTTCTTTTTTATAAAGCACAGTAGCTTGGCTCAGGGACAGCACTGAATGGTAATAGAGTCGGATGCCAACACAACCATGGGAAAGGTAAAAAAACTAAATGTTATGGTTTTACAAAAACTCCTGTTTTTGTGGCTTCTAACAGCACTCTGTAAAAAAGTGTCCGTGTGTGCCTGTGGCTTTTGCAGATCATTTTTTACGAAGACAGAAACTTCCAAGGGCGCTCTCATGAGTGCAACAGCGACTGTGCCGATCTTCACACCTATTTCAACAGATGCAACTCCATCAGGGTGGAGAGTGGCTGCTTCATGGTGTATGAGAGGCCCAACTACATGGGCAATCAGTACTATCTGAGGAGAGGAGAGTACTCTGATAACCAGCGTATGATTGGCATTAATGACTGTGTCAGATCTTGCCGTATGATCCCCCAGGTAGGTCATAATGACTTGCTTTAACACTCTGTTATAACCCCATAATATCCATCAGGTTACCAGAAACCCATATTGGGTTACTGTTAAATGGGAAAATATTCAGAAACTATAAATTAATTTTAGCACCATAGAGTATACTGATAGCTCTTTTGCAAGATGTTAATAGACAAAAATATTATATTAAGGAACTAGTTTTTAAACCTTATAGGTTACCGGTCAACTCTTGCTTTTCAAAAATTTTTAAGTAATTAAATGTATGTAAAGAAGGACCTGATTGGGGAGATTATAAGAGTTTTCTTTTTAAATTTCTTTGCTAGCACCAGGGTTCCTACAGGATGAGGCTTTACGAGCGTGCTGACATGACCGGGCAGATGCATGAGCTGGTCGATGACTGTCCAAATGTCCAAGACCAACTCAGCATGTCTGATTTCAACTCCTGCAATGTGATGGACGGCCACTGGCTACTGTACGACCAACCTAACTACAAGGGCAGAGTGTACTACCTGAGGCCTGGAGAGTATCGGAGGTACAGTGACTGGGGAGGCATCAGCCCAAGGATCGGCTCCATCAGAAGAATCACTGACTTCAACTGAAGTCAAGCTTCATTTAAATGCATCTTTCAATGACTTGAATTGTCTGTATTCCCAATAAACTTTAACTGCTTAATAAAACAAGCATCTTTTATTTCCATGTATCACTACAAAGCTTCATTAATATTTTGCAAAGGACCCTTAAGATGGCAGATGAGTTTTTTCTTGCAATCAAATGTTACAGAATGGAAAATAAGTACTCTTTGGGGCCAGTGGTGAAACAATTTATCTACCAGCTTCTGGGTAACTGGGCACTATAGTTTAATCTCCTCTATGCTTAGGCATACCATGGCAAACAATACCTCTCCCAGTTGGTTGGCTCGATAGGATTAGCTGGTCTCTGCGGTGGGAGAATTTATCCATACGATTAGTGTTAAACACTACGCTGCACGGTGTAGGAGAGGAAACTGATCCTGGACACCTCTGACAACAAATGACAAAATATGGAATAAACAATGTAAGAATGAGATTGATCTGGCAAAGCTGGTACCATAAGCACATGTTTTTTAAACAGTTTAAAATTAATGTCAGACACATTACACTGTTATGATTGACATTTGCTTTGAAACAGCTTACAAGGACCAAAAAACATTCATTATGCTAAAGATTGTCTTAAAGATTTTAAACAAACAACAAAAAACGTAAAAGTTAAACAAAATGTATCTGGAAAATAAGTATAATATAAACTTTAACTTTTTTAGTGATTGATAAACTACACTACTAAGTGATATTAAATATGGAAACCGGAACATTTTCACAAAAGTCTTACATTTGAAGAGAGAGGAAGAGAAGAAAAAAAAAAAGGCTCAAATCAAGGTGAAATTTACTATTGCACAGTTTTCAGCATAACAAAATGTTATAAGTAATTAATTATATTTGACTAGTGGCTGGTGGTAATACCAAGAAATAAAAATAATAGGAGTTATGTGTCCAGGTCCATTTCTCCTGTAGGGGGTCTTCAGAAAGTCAAATTACTGTGAGAAATCAAGTAATCGTGAAAGTCCTAAATCATTTAAAAATAGTGAATTTTACATTGCTTAACATACAGTAAACTGTAAAAGTATATACAAAACTTCTGTTATATTCTATGTCACATGAAGACTGGCAGCACAGTATACACACGCTTGTTTATTTGCATATGGTAGGGTTGCTCAGGTAGAGGGACAGTAAATGGCTTCCTGCTCTGTTACACAACATATTTAATGCCAAAGCCCTGTTCCATATTGTTCTGCAGCTATTGTCCACTGGATGTGTGGATACCATACTAGTCTTTTCCTTTGTGCATGCATGTCAAAACACCAAACCAGTTAATTTATCCTTTTTTTCAAATACAGATCCATATTTCTCACCCAATGTTAGGCTCTAACAAAAAGGTAAACATGTGCTAGTAGCCTTCAGTTATAACTATGAGATAATTTGAATAACAATGCATTTGTTTGTCGCAAGGTAGTATAAAAAGCCCTGAAAACATGGGGAATCTCTCCAACGGAGACCATGGGCAAGGTAAGTACTGGTTTTTTATCTCTCTGCTCACATTGAATGTTAGTTCAATTTGTTGTTGGTCTTTTACACATTTTTTTTTTTTGCTGGAAAGTCTTAACTGAGCAGCTGAAACTACGACTCTTTTATTTTTCATTAGATTATCTTTTACGAGGACAAGAACTTCCAGGGTCGCTCCTATGAGTGCAGTAATGACTGCACAGACCTTCACTTGTACTTCAGCCGCTGCAACTCCATCAGGGTAGAGAGTGGCTGCTTTATGATCTATGAGCGCCCTAACTTCATGGGCCACCAGTATTTCATGAGGAGGGGAGAGTATCCTGACTACCAGAGGTGGATGGGCTTCAGCAGCTGTATCCGCTCCTGTAGGATGATTCCAGTGGTAAGACAGACATAACACTGAAAAATACACGTAGACATAATGGTTTCACTGAAATATTGCAAAGGTTTGAACATGTTGCTGATTCTCTTCTGGCCCCACAGTATCGAGGTTCCTACAGATTGCGTATCTATGAGAAGCCTGACTTCAGTGGTCACATGATGGAGTTCATGGATGACTGTCCCTGTGTGTCTGACCGTTTCCATCACCGCCATGTCTACTCCAGTAATGTTATGAATGGCTACTGGATCTTCTACGAGTACCCCAACTACCGAGGCAGACAGTACTTCCTAAGACCCGGGGAGTACAGGAGGTACCGTGATTGGTGCGCCACCTGCGCCATTGTCGGCTCCTTCAGGAGAGTCACTGAATTTTAGCCATCAACTGAAACCTTGCTGTAAATATAAAGCACTTTGTTTATTAAAGATGTTGAATTTTTAACTCGTCTTGTGAATTTGTTTTGATTGAGTTGTTCAGCTTTGAAACTGTGATTGCTTTGTTGCGGGTACATAAAGGGACCCCTCAAAAGACTGGTAATATGTTGACTGTTTGGTCTGCAGATCCTGTACTTACTCTGTAGGTACAGTGAAGAACAATACCTACTTTTGTTTATTAAATTAGATGTAATTAAAAAAAACACCCTGGCCAGTCCAGCTGATCCTAAACAAATAAACTATACATCAAGTAGGCAACAACAAAATCATTTACAGCATTATTGTTTTGACTCACTTGTTGTACTTTCTGGAATAAAAGAAAGAATCTGTGTATAACACAATGATACATTAATTTCATGACTATCTGTCATATTCTACATACTAATACTAGGTATTTGTACCACATTATTTCTTATCGACATTGCTGAATCCCTTATTATGTTGGTAATCATAAGTATTTATAAACTTTTTATATTAATATTATTAACTTAATATTGTAATTTCTTTTGAAATCGCCCAAATTCCACTCTTTAGAACAAAGTTAAACAATGTCAGTCAGGAGAGATATGTTTCCAGATATGATTTTCTTTTTGATTTTTCTCATCAAAGTTGTAGACCACATGGAGCAATCCTTCTTCAAAATCCCAGCTCACGATGTTCACGATGGCTTATCAGTATTTCTACTTACGACAAACTAGTTGAATTGAATTTGGAAGAACCGTCTAATATATACGGCTCACTTGAACAGATGTATAGTTATTATATAGCCTAAAACCCAATCATAACAACAGAGTCTTTTTTCAGGACTTCCTAATAAACTCAACTTTTCAAAATAAGGGAACTGAGTGTCTTTATATAATTTTAGTTACAGTGTAAGAAGAAGAGGCAGATCAGTGATAGAAATGAATGTTTCTGATCCAAATTTGCAAAAATGTTTAAACAAATGCCTGCAAATGAAAAAGTAAATTAATGCAACTGAAATGAATTAGTACAATATCACCATATTGCTAATGCTTTTTCTCCAGCCAGCTGCTGTTAAAGTAGTGTAAAAAAGGAACAACCAGATGTTGCATGATGGAATTAGAGGAGTGACACATTTTTAATTTTAATTTCTTTAGAATTAAGCTGTGTGAATGCAAATTAAAGTATTCTCCATAGGTATATGTACATAAACTGTCTGAACTTTTAATATTGCATAAATCCATCTACTGCTAACCTACTTTTTACCCTTTTTTAGTAACTCATCAAAAGTAAGAATATTGAATAATTAGTTACTATATTTTATGAGATTAGAATGTTGTGTTTGTTTAAAGGCTGTGTATCTTACTGTAGCTTGTGTATGGCCTTTCATCTCATGATTATTTATCACACTTTAATCTTATAGTATAATAACATCCGTAAGAACTTAATAAAACATGCAGATTCTCCTTTAAATGAAACTCAGTCTTTTAAGTTACGGAACATATTTCTTATTATCGAGAGTCCTGAAAGCCGGCAGTTAGTATACTTATTTCTTTGTATTAACTGAATCTTTCTACAGTTTGTCAGACGTTTACCACAGATGTAGCCTGATGTCATGTTCTTTCCATCCCTGATTACTAACTGTATGTGAAGAGCCTTCTGACTCAAAATGGAACACACACAAAGCATATGCTTATAATAGACAATACGGATGACTGCTGCCAGAAATGTATGGATGGAGAACCATTGTTAGTCATTTATAGGCCCCGTTCAGCAAAAGTAATACTGCTAATTCATCAGCTTTGCACATTTGAATAACAACACATCATGGCCCCTGGGATTTTGTATAAAAAGGCCCTGGAATCATGGTGTTGGCAGAGCAAGTTGAACCATCCACTGGGAACAACCTTAACCACCATCATGGGCAAGGTAATGGGATGATTCTTACTGTAAAAGGAAGCAAAAATAATCTTCTTTAATCGATTTACTGATTTATCATTTTGTTTTTTCAGATCGTCTTCTACGAGGACAGGAACTTCCAGGGTCGCTCCTATGAGTGCACGAGCGACTGCTCTGACATGACCTCCTACCTGAGCAGGTGCCAGTCCTGCAGGGTGGAGAGCGGCTGCTTCATGGTCTATGAGCGTCCCAACTACATGGGCATGCAGTTCTTCCTTAGGAGGGGCGAGTACCATGACATGCAGCGCATGATGAGCATGGGAATGATGTTTGATTCCATCAGATCCTGCAGAATGATCCCCTTTGTAAGACGTGCTTCACTTTTGCTGCTATAATTTTGATTCATTATTAATTTTTAAAATGCTCCTTAGCAATCATACTTACATTTTCTCTACATTTAATTACAGCACAGAGGCCAGTTCAGGATGAGGATCTATGAGAGGGAGAACTTCGGTGGTCAGATGAACGAGCTGATGGACGACTGCGACAGCATCATGGACCGCTACCGCATGTCCGATTGCATGTCCTGCAACGTGATGGATGGCCACTGGCTGATGTACGAGCAAGCCCACTACAGAGGCAGGATGATGTACCTGAGGCCCGGAGAGTACAGGAGCTTCAGGGACATGGGCATGAGCGGGATGAGGTTCATGAGCATGAGGCGTATCACTGATATGTGCTAGACTTCTGTATTTGACTTCAGTAAATAAAAGCAATGTGTACTTCATAACCACATTTGTCACATGCACTTTCTTTATCTTGCTACATTTTTTTATGTAGCTACATCTACGTACCTAACTGCAAGAAAGCATTCCCTAACTATACCCAAAATTACATGTTACTCAATA